CTCCCCTTCTTCTCTCTCATGCTTTCTTTTCCATTCCCAGTGATGTTTCATGATTTTTATGTGTCAAGTACTACTAAAAAACATTTAACATTCCTGAGTCCATCTAATGAATTTTGTCCAGTCTACTGATCACATAGAAAACTCAAATGGAATATAAATCCAATGTGTGATTCTTAGTCCCTGCCCTGCCTCATCTTGAGTCAGAAAGAGAACATGGAGGGTAGAGCCTGGGGATTTTAAGGTACCCAGTTGGGCTTTCAACATCTGCTACAAAGATCAAAAATTAAATTTACCTTCAGAAAACAAACAAAAAAAAGAGTATTTTTGATTACATCAATGGCATTTGGTCCCTGAATGTTTTACTTCTATTGCACAACCATCTACCCTTCATTTTTTGCTCTTTTTCAGGGCACTTAACAGGCCCCTAATCCTGGAACTTGTTAAGAACCAGCTGAGATTTTACTTGTTACTTTGCTGTCTGTCTAAAGCAATTTTAGGCATACATAGACACACACTCTTACCTGTGAAATGAGTAAGACAGCCAGGTTCAGAAGATGCCTGACTGCTGTGTCTTTATTTTCACACATAGGTTTTATACAACATCTTCATTGCCTTCACCCAGATGCACAGGTACGAAGAAATCGAATCCATTGACGTCTTCGCTGGCTTCGCTCGCTTCTTCGTGGTGGGGCTGGGGGGTGTATTGTTTGGGATCGTATTTGGATTTGTTTCAGCATTCATGACTCGATTCACCCACAACGTCTCTGCAATCGAGCCCCTGCTGGTCTTCATGTTCAGCTACCTGTCATACTTGTCTGCTGAAACCCTCTACATCTCTGGCATTTTGGCGTGAGTATTCCTTATGGCTTTTTGGATGACCTCTTGAAGGAAGTGGCACGGTTTTGTTCAGGTGGTTTGCTCAAGGTTGATACAACACAGGCATTCAGCCTCTGGCTTAGAGATCTGCAGTGGACAGCTTCTAATAGATCTGTAAAATGCAGTGGTAACTAGGAAATGCCTACAGTTAGTGTAGGAATAGATGTGATACCAAGGAGTGTTGGCAAAAGTACTGCAAGGTGTGAGTAAAGTAACCAGTGCTGCTACCATCTGTCTGCTACCTCTGATAAGATCAGCAGGAGGAGAGAATGATTTGATAATACATCACTTTATTTGTATCTATTTCTAAGCAGCATCACCATCAGATCACAAGAGAGACGTAAAGCAATGAGTATGGAAAACATAATAAAGAATGTCAGAGTTTTTGGGTTTGTATACAGATGTGAACATCACCTCTAACACAATGTACTGGAATTACATTACATTTGGACAGCATCACTGGGATTGAAACTGGGCAAAACCAGACAACTGAGAACATCAAATACACACACATACATACACTCATGTATATGGATATTGACAATCATATTTTGATGTGGTCAGGATAGTTTGATACTGCTGTAATGCTGGGGACCGCTTCCTTAAAGTACTGTGTTAGCATGGGTGCCCACTGCAGAGAGAAAGCTGGCAGGTCTGTCAACGGGAGATGCAGAGAGAGTGAGTATTGTGGAAAGGAAAAACGGTGGAGGCAGGAAGGGAGTCAGAAGAGAAAGGAAGGAATAAGGGTGGAAGTGAGAGACTTTAGGAGAAAACTGATGGCAGTTTAAACATAACAAATGCAAGCATATAGTTGCTGATGTCCAGACAGGTGCATTTACTCACCACCACTTGTGAAAAAGTGATTTCATAGAACAACAGGTTTGGGTTGGAAAGGACCTTTAAAGGTCATCTAGTCCAACCCCCTGCAATGAGCAGGGACATCTTCAGCTAGATCAGGATGCAGAGATCCCCTTCCAAACTGACCTTGAATGTTTCCAACGTTGGGACATCTGCCACTATGCTGGGCAAACGGTTCTAGTGTTTCACCACTCTCATAGTAAAAAAGTTCTCCTTATATCTAGTCTAAATCTACCTAAATCTTTCAGTTTAAAACCATTACCTCTTGTCCTATGGCAATAGGTGCTACTAAAAAGTTTGTCCCCATCTTTCTTATAGGCCTCCTGTAAGTATCAAAAAGTTGAAATGAGGTCTCCCTGGAGCCTTCTCTTCTCCAGGCTGAACAACACCAGTTTGTTCAGCTTCAGAGCAGAACTGGCTTTGTAAAAAACTACCTTTGCAGGATGACCCTGGGAAGCAATATTTGAATATTTAAACATACTAAATAAATAGTTATACAGGATATAGGTTATCCTGAGAAATTAGACAAGACAGATGAGTCTTGTACTATGTTTTGCATATCCAACATATTTACCCAGATTGAGGTGACTGGCAACTTTAGTTGAGCAGGGTGAGACCTCCTGTGCTATGCAGGTGGTGCTAATACCTTATGTACCCTTTCCTACCTGCACTGCCCAAAATACTGCTTGCCTGCCTACCCATTGCACTAGACTACATAGCTTTTTATTTTTTTTAATTCTTATTTTTATTAGAGTTCTGAAATTATTAGTAATATAAGAATGTTAATATAATTGGGATTTATTATTCTTACTGCTTCATTAAGGAAATTATTGCTTGTTTTAGAGATGAGAACTTATTGTCACTCTTCTGAATTATTGAGGATTCATTCATCTTTCACTTGGATCGTGAAAGTCTATTATGCATGTGTAACTGAAAGTCAACAGTATTAATCATTAATGCCTAATGGCCTTGTCTTGGAGTGTCCTTGGACATGCTAAATGACTCAGCTCCACCATGATACCCTTGAGATTTCTTCAGTGGAAATTAAATGAGCGGAAACTAGAGGAAGGTTATTTAATGAGCAGTCATCATTCTCTGAATTCAGAAGTTTGAAAAAATATAATCACAAGAAGCCCCCAAAGAATAAAATCATATCAGTAGAAACTAGATAGGTGATGGAATATGTTACTAGCATCGCACTCAATCTATTTATTACCTATGACTATGCAAAAGGTAGGGGAGAAGAGGGAATCCCCTTCAGTAGGACTGCTCAAAGACTGCTGCTCCATGTGATTGTCACTAGTGTCTGTACTGGGTGGCTGCTGATACTTCTGAAGCAAGCTCTAGTCTTCATTAACAGTGAAGAAGTGGAAAACATCCCTTTGCTTCCTTAGGCACCTTCCTCACAGCCTAGGTAACTAAAAGGGGAAGGACACTTCTGTAGGACAACTGAATTTCCACCTGCTGTACAACAATGGGTTACTGTGGGTGGAGAGTCCTGAAGTTTGGTCTGGCACTGCTGATCTACCAGTCAGTTGTCTGGGAGCCACTGGGAGCTTTGGTCTTGGCATGGCACTACCACCGTGTTCTCCCACCTCAAAGGGGAAGATCACTAAGAGGCAAGTTATGTCCCTCTAACTGGTACAAAACCAACCTGCCCTTTGTTTGAGACAAATATTTGGTGCTTGGTGACTCTGTGTTAGGCATTCAGGATAAAATGGACTTTGAACTGGAACGTGATACCCTCACTTCCTCATTAGGAAGGCTGACTGGTTTGCTTCCTTTATCCTGTATGTAGAACAGATTTGTAAAGCTGAATGAAGATGCTTTTCTATCTAGTGAAATAGCTAATGTAACTGAAGAAATAAAATTCTTCTTGATATTAGGAAGGTCAGAATCTGGTGATAGAGAGTGCAGGTAATGATGGTTGAGGTTGTTCTTAACTGAAAAGAAAAACAGGCTGATTTCTGATGTTTTTCTTGATACAGAATGACAGCATGTGCAGTGACAATGAAAAAATATGTGGAGGAGAATGTGTCCCAGAATTCTTATACCACAATAAAATATTTCATGAAGATGCTAAGCAGCATCAGTGAGACCCTGATTTTTGTGTTCATGGGAGTTTCTACAGTGGGGAAAAACCACGAGTGGAACTGGGCCTTCATTTGCTTCACTCTGCTCTTCTGCCTCATTTGGCGGACACTGAGTAAGTCAGCTTTTGCAGAAAACCTTCTCCACACCTCAGAGAGAAACCCTTGGGTGCAAAGGTATGTTAGAAAAGTCTGTGTAGACTGTCACAACTGGTTTATCTTACTGACAAGCATGTTTCACAAATCTACACATGGAGAAAAAATAGAAAAAAGCCTCAAACAAACGTGAATGTCAGTCTCCAAGCAAAGACTTCATGTTTAGGTGAGAATGGAATATTTTAAGCAAACTAAAATATTATCAGGATTATGCTTATAGAGATGCTTGTATCTTAGTTAACTATATGCCTTTGGTAAGTGGGCCTCATAATGATTTCATCACACACTTGCATTAACTAATTAGATAATGTATATCATCACACTTCTAGTGCTATAGGTCCTACTACAGGTCCTGGGCCAGGAGTGCTGGAGACATATAAAAAGAGGGAAGGTGAAAATTAGCGCTGATAGATGACTGAACAGGGACTTATACCATATGTAGGTCAACCAACTATGCTACTGCTCCTCACAAGTCAACTCTGAAGTTTTAAACTGCTAGAAAATAGTGCTTGTATGAAAATACTGCATTTTCACACATGGTATCTCCCACTCCTGCAAAGGTCTCCTAGTCCCTGATCTGTGAGACTGGGGTTCCTGCAGCATGAGTAGGACAGTTTATAGATAATTTCACATGACTTGTGGGACACAGGCGCTCTTCTCCTCCTAATGTCCAGGATGGGTTGAAAGTTATGTTGAAAAAGAAGAAGCAATAAGACAGCTGGTGGTTGGTGTTCCGGAGGTGGTAGCAATCCTGGTATGCCTCTACCAAGAGCTGCTCTTGTGCCTGTTAGCGAGTTTACTACAACTGTGGAAGCAGAGAGGCAACACATTGCCATCTTCTCCCTCATCTACTAGTACTTTTCTGCCAAGCTTTCTAGAGGACATAAGGAAAGAAGGAATGACCTACTGGATCAGACCAACCATCTACTGGTGTCTTCAATGGATCCTGCAGGAGATGCTAATTACAAGCCTGGCCATTTTCTGAGCTTTATTCACCTTCTACTTCTCCAGGATCCTACAGTCTCTATGATAGAGATGTGAGAGGGTACAGTCCCTGCCCGTGCCACATAGAGGTCTCTTTTTGATTGGTAGCCCACGAGATTATGACTTCCTTTTTTGGAGCCTTAATACTCTATTCTCATAGAATTTCACAGAATATTCTGAATTAGAAGAGACCCATGAGGATCATCGAGTCCAACTCTTACATGAATGGCCCATACAGGCATCGAACCCACAACCTTGGTACTATTAGCACCATGCTCTAACCGACTGACCTAAGATGATTGGCTGCATCAGGTTAAGTTACAACTTAAAGTAAATACATTTACTCCTGGAGAGGTGATGAATTATGGAACACATTCTACTGAGCCACTGTTATTTGCCACTAGCTAAAAATATGAGTGAACAATGTTTTTGAAATTAATGATATTTTGGAAGTAGTACACATAACAGGGTCAAAAATACAATTATGTAGGCAACCTTATTTCTGACATTTTTTAACTTCTGAGTACCTGAATTTTCCATCTTAAGAGCATTCTTTTTGAATTTCAGTAGCTTTTTTTCAGGGTAGTTTATAATTTTAAAGAAAATGAGAAATCCAAATATTCTATCAAGAAGCCTTGGAGGAGATATTCTGAGCACAGAAATTAGGCTACCTTGGCTAAGTTAGTAGGTTGATTCCCCCATGGTTCATTTATAATCAAAGGAGTACCCTCTGGAGCATCCAGTGGGGCAGAAATCTATATTGATCACCTGCCACCACCTCCTTCAGCCATTTGCCCCATCTATATTCCCTTTACAGTCGGAGCTGGTGGCTAATGGCATCCCTTGGGGAGATGAGATCAATTTTTTAAATCTTCCTTAATGACCTGGATGAAGGAACAGATTGCACACCAAGTGATTTTGTGGCTGATAGAAAACTGCAGGGAGTAGTCAATATTTTGGATGGCTTCCATTCAAAGTTACCTGGACAAACGGGAGAAATAGGCAGAAGGCTTATGAAGTTCAAGAGGAGCACATGCAAGGACTGTCATGTGGGTTGGAATAACTCCGTACACTAGTATAGGCTTGGAATCTAATGAGCAGCTCTGCAGAAAAGGGCCTGGTCTAGTAGTCAATAAGTTGAACACAAGCCAGAATTATGTCCTTGTGACAAAGAAGTTCAGACATGTCCTGGTCTACATTAGCAAGTGTAGCAGGCAGGCCCAGCAAAATGTTTCTTATCCTCTCTTCAGAACTGGTGAAAATGTGTGCTGCTTTCAGAGTGCTTTCCAGTTCCAGGGTACCCACTGTACAAGAATATGACAGTTCTGGATCAAGTGCTGTTGAGGCCACCAACCTGGTCAGAGGCTGGAGCACTGGACATACAAGGAATGTCAGAGAGTGCTGAGTCTATGCAGTCTGGAGAAGATCTGGCACAAAAGAAAACTTACTACTTTCTACAAGTACCTGATCAGAGGAGACAGAGAGTAAGATGGATCCAGACACTTCTCAGAGGTGTACAGCAATAGGGCACAGGGAACAATCACAACCTGTAACATAGGAAATTCTGATTAGACAGTAGGAACCTGCATCTTAACATGAGGGTAATCCATTACTATAACACTGGACCAGCCCTCCATTCCTAAAGGCATTCAAGGAGCTTTGAGCACCCTGATCTGATTAGCTCTGCTTTGAGTAGGGACTTGGACTAATTGAACTCCAAAGGTCCTTTCCAGCCTACAGAACTCTGATTCAAACATCTGGGACCAGATATGTCAAACATCTGAGATTAAGGTCCTATTTCTTAAATCTGTTGGGTGGTTTATCCCTCAGTCAAAAAGAATGTCAGAGGAGGAAGAAGATGATGGTTTGAACTTCAAAGCCCATACACACTTCAAGACTTTGATTTTTGTCTGGGAGCCCTGGAGAAAGACATTTAACAGAGGAAAAAGAGAGAAGAGGAAACCTGTGAAGGTTCAAGTATGTGCCTCTGAACAACTCTATTATATATAGAGAAGACACAAATACTCAACAGTAGAGGTGATATGATTCTTGTGGGTTGACAGCAAAAACAAAGTAATTACATATTTTCTTGCTATTTCTGGACCAAGCATGGCCTCTAAGTTTTTCAAGGCTTGCTTTTGGAGTCCATTTTGAAATATCATTCCAATCAAGACGGAAACAGTACTCTCCTGATATAAAAGATATTTTCCTGCCACATGTCCATCCTTCTCTCAGACACCAAGGGGAGTGCTAGAGCTTTCCAGAAGGCCAAAATATTTTCTGCTAAACCTGTGTGTTAAAATGATTACACATTTTTTTTCTGAAGCTTGAATAAAGGTATTGCCTGAGGGTTATACCTCACATATGCAGTTTCAGTCTTAGTACCTGATGTCTAGCACAGTTATAAATAGCCAAAAAAGGTCTTGCATAAAGTGGTATCCAGCAACCTACATAACAGCATACTGCTATTGTCTTTACCGCTAATAATCTGAGTTTATCAATGATAGCTGTGTAAAATAACACCAGCAATTACCAGCATTTGTCAGCTTTTATGTCAGTAATTTACCAGTTTCCACACAAAATATAGGATACATGTTTCTTATGGAAGACAATGAAGATTAAGAGTAAATCAAGCAGATTGCTGGAAGTACTCTAAAAAGAAAAGTTGCAATCCTTACACTGTCTTACTGTTTTTAATTTTTATTAAACAGAGAAGTAGAGACACAATAAGCCAGAGGACTGAAAATTAAAATGCTATTACTCTTTGCCTTTTAGTGAACCTGTCCACAGGACTTATTGGTAAAGCACTGTTCAAACACTTTGTACAGACACTGTGCAGAAAGCAGGAAACATTGCAAGAGTAGGCACAGGAGAAACTCTCATCCAGTCATTTTTCTTGTCTCCAGAACACTTTGGAGAAAACTATGAGACATAAATATAGAAAGTAAATCTTTTGCCGTAATCTCACTACTAAACTGTGTAAATCCTGAAGCAGTTATGAACCACCATCTTTTATATGAGGTTATTTCACATGAACCAGATTCAGCAGCTGGTCAAAGAGAAGCTACAAAAAACTAAAACTGAAAAAAATGGGCTGTCAACAGTTCCCTGAGCCAAGACATTTTGCCTTTAATATTTTCATTTGCTCCTTGATTAATAATAATAGTTGTGGGGTTTTTCCCTTCCTAGGTGTATTTGCTCTCTTCTACATCAGTAACAAGTTCCGAACATATCCCTTTACTGTCAAAGACCAACTCATTATTTCCTACAGTGGCCTTCGAGGAGCCAGCAGCTTCTCTCTTGCAGTCTTGCTTCCAGTGCATCTCTTCCCCAGAAAAAACCTGTTCATCACTGCTACTCTTGTCGTTATATATTTCACTGTGTTCATCCAAGTAAGTATATTTCTTAATGGATTGCTTTCATGTAATAGAGGTGTCTGAAAGCTTCATAGTGAAAACTGCATTGAATTTACTTCTAGACTAGGACAAGCTATTGCATTTTATGGCCAGATTTAGCATTTCAATGTGTAATTACCCTTTCAGGAAATTTTAGGTATTACAGAAATCCTGTACTGAAAAAACGTGTCTTCTAAAATATTCAAGGGAAAGGGCACTCTGTATTCAAAGTTATGTTCACTCCATATGCATTTCCTGATGCTTCCAATTTAAGAAGTATTTTAACTTTACACCAAATCATTCTTTACTAGTCATGTATCCCAAACTGACCAGGAAACAGTATGTCTCTTCTAAGACAGATTTTGGATTTTATACTTTTATCTTCATCCATCTCGGAGACCAAATAAGAATATTTTGAAATCCTTCTAAAAAGAATACTAAAGAAAAATAAAGTGAATAATTAATATTTGCAAGTGTAAGTGTCTACTTTAGATATTTGGGTTATTCCACCTAGCTTACACTGCTGTACCTGGAAGAACTGAATTTTCCAGAGGTCTTGCATCCCATGCTCTATATTTTCCCACACAGAGATCTCAGATACTATAGGGTGCCAATGGGGCACTATGCACTTGTTATAGGTAAAGCACTTAGACTTCAGCAGAATGTTTCAGGAAAAAAACCCACATTTTGTTTCTATTTCCCCTTTTAAAATGCTATTCTGTATCAGTACAGTAAAGAAGTGGGAACAACTGAAATCTGTTTCTAAGTGAACCCCATCAAAGATATTAATTCTAAAAATGTTAAAATAAACAGCTTCAAGATTGCAAGACCTCACAAAGATAATGTTTTCTTTCAAATGAGTCCTGTTTTAAAAAAAAATTGGCAATGAGTCAATTACTTTACATAGTTAGAATATGCCAACAAATATAATCTTGCTTAAAGAAAACCCTGGTGTACAATCTTTTTTAAAGTTTTTGATTTTAATTCTCTTTTATAGCTCTCCATGCAAATAATACTTCACTTGTGTGTCTAAGACACAGCTTTCCTAATTTATTAAAATTAAACCATTTTACTTTCTTTCCCTTTTTTTCTGAAAGATAACTAATAATTCAACTCACTATTCCAAATGCAGGGAATCACAATTGGACCATTGGTCAGATATCTGGATGTCAAAAAGACAAACAAAAAGGAATCTATCAATGAAGAAATACATGTGCGAGTAAGTTTTTTATATCAGTAGCTGGTATCCCAAAAAAGAAGAGAAAGGGTGGATAGAGGGAGGCACCTGGAAGCGCTGGCATTCACTGGATTTGGACACTCAATGCTTTTAAGATGCATGGAGGAAACCCTAGGCATAATTTTCTAAAATATGATATCTCATTTATACTCATAGTGACTATCATATTATAAGATCAAGTCACAAATGTCACGGTGTAGCAAGTCCTTACTTCTTAGTACTTGTGACCGTGGGAGGACAGAAGCAGAAAGGTAAAGTTTACAGAATGAACTCACAATCCTTCTGATATAGATTTGTCAGATACATTTGTTGCCATCTTTTGACTGTTTCTAGACAGACTGACACCTCCAAAGTCTTTAATCAAGTTTTATTGAACTAAAATGAGTTGAACCATTGGACTTCAAATTTAATTTCAAGTTATTCCAAGTCATGATCTTTCCCCTCACAAACATTTACTTTAGTTCTCGAATTACCATTATATAAAATAACAGAAAGCTGCTCAAACTGACTTAACAATGTTATAGAAAAAGTATGCACATTCTTTCATTTTCCCATTAGGGAATAAATTTGAAATTAATGGAAACACTGACTTAAAATGAAGCATATGCAGAGACATTAGCAAAATTAGAGCATATCAACTGATTTGAATTTGAATTTAATTCTTAGTATTTCAACCTTTACATTTAACCTTGAAAAGAATTTACATTTAAAGCACCACTTATGACAATATGCCTGTAAGAACCGGCCTTTTTCTGTCTGTCTCTAGTAATACACAAAAAATGACTGAAAAACATTGCAGTTAGCAGTGACAAACTTACCAGCCTCATAACAATCTCAAAAATCCTCAGAGAACTTGTCAGTCAAGGCAAAGGTGTTAGGTACCTGGTGCTGTGTCCCTCTCAGAGAGGTCACACATGCAGAAGGGAAGTTTGGTTGACAGAACCAAGAATTTAGTTTTTGGGCTCAGTAGGCAAAAAGGACCAGGAGATTTGTTGCCTCCATCAAAATATTGCCACTGCAGCCAAGCATAGGAGCTGACACTGGGATCTTTGCCTTGATTTTTAGAGCAATGTAGTTGCTTTCAGAATTAACTCACATGCTCCAATAAAAAAAAATAAAAAACCCTCAAAATTCTGTCATCAAATATCTGTTTGTGGCCACTTAAAATTTTTCCATGTTTTTTTCTCTAGTTGATGGATCACTTGAAGGCTGGTATTGAAGACATATGTGGACATTGGAGTCATTATCAGCTGAGAGATAAGTAAGTATCTCTTATTGCGGCCTAATATAATAAAATAACCTATCTACCATATAAAATACAATAGGTAAATAGAATAGGAAATCAAAATACTGGGGACATGTGCAATATCTCCTTTTAAAAACTGAACTCCAGAGTAACCCTTGCCTTTTGGGAGGGCAGTGCTCATATATTGCCTGCTAATTTGGTTCTGCACAAAGAAACAGAAAATTAGACTTCCAAAAGAAAAGTAAAGCACGGGAACTTGTGCTGCAAACATCAGCCTGTGCACATAGCTTTGGTATAAATCTAAGATCCCTGGCAATGCTCCTTTAGCTCTGGATTTAGAACATAAGCTACATAAGGTGTAGTTTCACTGACTTCTGCTGTAAGCCTCCACAGCAAATATGATCCCCTCTTGGTGAGTACAGATTCAGTAATAATTGGTCACCTGTCCTTACAGGTGACCAATCCAGTAATATTTAAAATAAGAGATCTGAAGGGAATGTTTGCATTCAAATGTTCAGTAGCATAAGCAGATGCTCTCAAGCTAGTCTTCACTCAGAAATGCAGGATCTGCATTGTCTCTTCTATAAGCAGGATGAGGTGGTTTTGTGGAGCTTTGGGACTATTCCAAGCACTGCCCAAAAGCGATGGATATGCTGTGGCCTTTACCTTTTCCCTAAGAGAGCTCTGTGATCATGTTGACCACCACCAAAGCATGTGAAGAGAAGTAGGGGAAAGACTAATCTTTCTTTCCTCCCAACATCTTATTATGATTCTGTGGGCTAAAAATTACCCCTAGTTATTCTAGCTATGCCTAGGTTTCTGTGCTCTAATCCTGTCTGACCTTTCAGCATTGGACTCCAGTAATCCAGCTGGGGTGTCTGCTGGGACATGTGGCAACTCCTTTCATTACTGGGTTTCTCCCTATGGAAACCAGGAATTAAGAGTGGGAAGAAGATGGCTGTTATGAATCCAGTTCTTGTCCTAGTGGAGAGTAATGATGTAATGTACTAGGGCATACCCGGAAGCTAAAATGTCTTCTTGGCTCTGACAACACAGAGATAGCTTTAGGACACCCATCTGCTGGGACCACACCACTGTCTGTATAGACAATAGTCTGAACAATTCCCCGTTGGAGCAGTAATTTCACTGAAGTAGCTGCATTGACACATATGTTCGAGTAAATGCTATCCCATTGTCTCACGTCTACCTGATAGCTCTGAAAAGAGAGTTTTGCCCATACTAGCCATAAATGTAGTGTTTTGGTTTAGGGACAGATTCAAAAAACACACTATGTCTGAAGACACAACGTAAGAAGACTGTATTAGAGGTATTCCCTAAACTTTTCTATGCAGCTTTAAAGATGTATATCAGAATTAATTACTTCAGCGATGACAATCCAGGAGGCTTTCTGTTACACAGAAAAACATAAAGAAATCTAATGCCAGTGGAAACGTTTGTGTACCTACCTCTGCTATTTAGGAATAAAAAATAGCCTTTGTTAAGAAAAAAAGATACGATTTCTGTATTGCTTTTCTTAGCATTGTGGAGCACATTACCTCGCTGTGATAAACTATTCCTTTGAAAGAAACAGAACAGTTGTCCTGCTAAAGATTCACTGTTGTTCTGCTAAATGCTGCCTGAAAGCACATACCTGTTCCAAGGCACACGCACACATTCACATTCAAATGATGCCACACATTAGTGATATTTTACAATCTGCAAGCACATAGTATTTTGGGGTCCATTCAATTTCTCTGTTATTCAGAATACAAAGAAATGTATTTTCTCTGCTCTAATTGTCAGGATTCAAAATTATCAGCAACATAATGGGCTCAAACTACTGTAACTACTGGGCCATTTAGAGCCTCATTGGTGGCTGGCTGAATAGACCAGGATTACTGTAAGAGCAGCTGCTGCTGTTATGCCCTACTATAATACAACATTAGTACAAAAGCGTGGAGACTGGCCATATTCTTTTCTGACAAATGTGGTGGTGTTATATTCAAACACACACAGCCCTCTTTTTTGCTCTGATTACAGCTTGTTTCTTTCTTTTGTCTCGTGGGCTCTGAAATCTCTGTGGACCAGCAGACTATGCCAAATATCCCCCTAAAGGTCTCTGCTAACTAGGCCTGCAGGAGCCTCCACAGGTGCCTCTAATTTGGATTCAGTTTGCACCACCAAATTACATGTATGTGCATTTGAATGAAGATCAGCTTGTACTACAGAAAAAAACCACATTCCCTTTTTTACACTTTGATTTTGGTATCTCTTTTGCAGATTTAAGAAGTTTGACAATAAGTATCTGAAGAAAATTTTAATTCGGCAACACCAGCCCAAATCCAGTCTTGTGTCATTATACAAAAAGATGGAGATAAAACTGGCCATAGAGATGGCTGAGAGTGGCATGCAAATTTCAAAACCATCCACTGCTTCTTTACAGTGAGTATCAACCTCCTGACCCTTTGCAGAGCAGGAAGAGGAAGGAGGGGGACAAAATGTAAGAAAAAAAAGACAGTTATGAAAAGAGTAGTTGTAATTTGGTGTTCATTATATTTGCACTTTGTCTCTTTGTTCAGAGAGTGAAAATCAAAATGGACATTTTCTCTGTTTCTTTTCAATGATGCAAAGTTCTGAAAAGGAATCATGAGTGGTGCAGAAGCCACTCTAGCTGCTTTAAATCACAGCAGTGGATCAAGATGGCTGTACTTGCCACTAATCTGCCAACGGGTTTTGCTCATCCCTGTTAGGTGCTGAGAGACCTACGGGATGGCTTAGCACACAGGCCCTGACTTCATTATCCCAATCGCAAATTTTTGCTGAGAGCAGATTTCTTTGTAGCATTTGTAATTTTTGCTACTCCAGTTTGCAGTCCTTCAAACCATCTTGCCATATTTTGGTACTTCTGTGACAAATTTGTCCAATTAAACATTGAGAGCAGCCCTGTCAAGAAGGACTTGAGGGTACTTGTGGATGAAATGCTGGACATGAGCTGGCAATGTGCACTTGCAGCCCAGAAAAACAACCATATCCTGCATCAAAAGGAGTGTGACCAGCAAAGATGATCAGAGGGCTGAAGCACCTCTCCTGTGAAGAAATGATAAGAGAGTTGGGGTTTTTTAGCCTGGGGAAGAGAAGGCTCTGGGGAGACCGGATTACAACTTTCAGCACTTAAAGGGAGGTTACAAGAAAGATGGGGACAGGCTTTTTTAGTAGGCTTTGTAGCAATAGGACTAGAAGTAGTGGTTTTAAACTAAAAGAGAACTAGACTAGAAACAAGGAAGAACTTTTTTACGATGAGGGTAGTGAAACACTGGAAGAGGTTGCCCGGAGAGGTGGCAGATGCCCCATCCCTGGAAACATTCAAGGTTGGGTGTGATGGGGCTCTGAGCGACCTGATCAAGTTGAAGACGTCCCTGCTCATTGCAGAGGTGTTGGAACTAGATGCAAATCATTCTATGATTCTAGGAAACAGTAATGCAACTCGGCATCAGACAGACCAGAGCCATCAACGAGGAAACTATCCTCTAGGAGAGAAGTCTGCACAAATCTTGACTCCTGCATGCTATAATTGACATGCATATATTTCTCCTCATTTTGCAACACACTGTCCAGAGTATGGGTATTGAAGGCATTTGCCTTCACAAACTCTTTCCTGGAGTCTTGCTGACCACTGTTGCTACTACTGCCTGCTCTTGCCTGCTGCATCATTAAACCTTTCTGCATTTTGCAGCAGTCTCTGGCAGGGTCCAACATATTTTCCTTTGTGAATGGTCATCTCTACCCATACCTGAAAGTCCAAATACCAACCGGATGTTAAATTAAAATCCTTCTTGAAACTTTGGCTTAATCATGTCAAGATCTTTCTGCTTTCTTGAAACTGATGTCAGCATGCAGTGTAACACCCAGCCCTTTTCTCTCTAAATCATTGTTCGCTGAATGGATGATATTAAAAGACTTCATGCCTGTCAGGCTCCTTTCTGTCTGCTGTATTCCCTTAACTCTTCTGAGCCAAGAGAAAATGTGCAAAATTATTAGACAATCCATAGCAATCAAACCATGTCCCTCTTCTTTTCCTGAGGGAGAGAGAAAATAAAACAAATTACTCCAGTGTAGTTCAGAAATTCTCTCCTGAGCAGAGAATTTAGATTGAAAAATGTTCTATAATAAACAGCTGGTATGATGGAGTAATTTTTGCCAGCTCTACTCTGGATATAATTCAATTTTACTGTGCATCATCTCTGATGAACAACTTTTCCTACTGAGAAAACCTTTTTAAAAGTGAAGTGTCAACTTAAAAAAACCCCATAGCCTGTGGCTCAAAAATATTCTGATTCTCACAGACTGTGAGTGTTCTAGGAAAAGACATATTTTCCCAACTCTGTTAATTGATAGATGTCTGCGGTCAAGAGCATTACAGGAGACAGTATAGTGATCTAGTTGTTGGATCTTTGGTCAGGGCCAGTGCAGAAGTTCTTGTCACCATTTTCCTGAGCAACTAAGTGAACCTACGTAAAAGGTTTCTAAATGTATTACAGAATGTCTGATTGTTATTGTTGAGACAGCTTGTACCTAAAATTCGTGTCTTCTGTGAGGATACAAACTCTGGCCATGAACAAGATGAGGTTTGAAATAAAATTCCAGTGTATGACATGTAAAACATTATTAGCAGTGCCAGAGTAGTGAGAAAACTCTCACTCGCACTTCTGATCAGTTTTGTAGCCTTTATGTACCCAAGGGGAATTGCATTACAAGAATCAATGCAGATCTGCATTGCTGTGAATTAGCAAAATTGCATTCATGCTGGCGTGATTCCTGCTGTTGGAATGGGTGTCCAGCAAGTATCTTCAGTGCATACTGAAAAAAAATTTGCCTATGGATTGTGCAACAAAGAATCCCTTTTGAATGAAAATAGAGCATTTGGTTATGATGTTTTGGAGAATATAAGCCTTAGAAATAAAAAGAGAAATGGCAAAAGCAGAGTCATACAGATATTATCAAAACTGTGGGTTTACGGCTGTTTTTTGGAGGACATATGCTCATTAGAGAGAAAGATGGTTTGATGCTGAGCTTACTTATTGTTGGCTTTATATTGGTGCAATACTGACTTTGGTAAAATCAATACAGTACAAATGAGAACCAAGTGTTGTGTTGTCATTTGTGGTGGTGCAGTTGTGAGAGAGCTGTGCCTGTTGAATGTTAGTTCCTTCACAGGACTAGTAAAAATTGGTGAGCAGCTTACAAAGTTCAAAATTTCTGATATAATATAAAAAAATATTAAACCATTTGTGGAGGTATCAATGTATCAAGTATCATATCAACTATACATCTCCATATCTAAAGAAAGAAGTACTGTCAGGGTACTCATTACAGAGAGACAGTCAGTTTTCATGTCGTATTGTAAGTTCAGGTTTTTTTCTCCACAAATATATCTCCTGTGCTGTGCTTTGTTGTAACATGTTGGAAGTTTCCATAAGAACAAAGAAATACTTTCAGTAAGGATTACTTTATGGGTTTGGTAACATACCAAACTTGTTTGGGTTTTTTTTTAAAGTTCTTTTTAAATGTATTGTATATTGCACATTGTAAAAGCAATCTGTTCCTTATTACTATATATGTGCATTGTTATCTGTTGGGTAGGTTCATATCCAATTCTATGAAAAGAATACACATTTTTTTATTTGTGCTGCAGAACAATACAGATTATCTTCATGCTGTTTGTTCTCTTGCTACCTCAGCAAGAGAACATTTTAAGAGCAAAATAATAAGCTTTTAAAAGACTTAGAACTGACCACTTCTGTGCTGGCTTGTGGAGGAGGCCGGGTATGACCCAGCTCTAATACTATACCTTCACCTATTGGCAATTTCTCTCTTAGTTTTTACTTGACAAAAAAATTGTCAGATTCAGTTTTAGTCTGATGCAGAATGAAAACACATTCCAGGACCTTGAAATATATGAGAAATTAGGTCTTATATTCCAGGGACTTTGGACAGGGCCAGGACACCAGGGCTTACTGTCTACTTGATGGTAAGAGGTAGTAAAATGTAAAATTCAGGCAGTTCATGTTGGTCCTACAAGTTTTCAAGATGTTCATGATATATCATAGAACAAAACAGTAGTAATATTGTTAAAGTACCTGTAATTGCAAATTACAATCTTTTTCCTATATTTACAGCATAATCTCAGATTAGCTTGAATCCATCTTCCTTCGCCATTAAAAGTTTTTAATTTATTTTAGAGGAAGTATGAAATAAATGCACACAAAGCTTTGGCAATACTGTACATTGATCATGATCAATTTTTAAACTGCAGTTTACAGGACACCACTTAGCTGAAAACAAAGACTTGCAATCACTTGTTTTGTTTTGATTTGGTTTTTTGGTTTTTTTAAGAAGCAGGAAAGCAGAATGAAGGGAAAAAAACCCCAGAAACAACAAGATGAACTCAGACTGATTTATTCTGGAGGATCACTATCTATTTCCCTTTCTTTTCTTGGGAATTCATCTGAATGCTAACTCTCACAGAGACTGATCACTGTAATAAAGCCAGTTAACAATTCACAGCAGCCCTCCTCCATTGTTTTGCTAGTGGAAAAAACTGGGCAGCTACAAATGACAGTGGGCTTCTTGTCGGAGTTTTTTTAAAAATACAAAGATGATTATCTTTTAGGTAGTTCATTTCAAATGGGGAAACAGGGTCATCAGAAAGGAAACCCTATACATTCTCCTCACAACAGGGCAGGTCTTTCAGGCTCCACAACTGGCATATCCTTTAGTTCTTAGGGATTTTCTGCACTTTCTCAAAGGAGTTAAAACCAGTAGTATGGCTAAACCCAGACTGCCAGACCATACTGAGGTTTTATTCAGACAGGAGGAAACTTGCAGTGCCTTCCTGAATGTACAGCTGGTTGTGGCCCAATCTAATTATTGAATAAGAACTTCCTTATGAGAGTTAGAGAGAGAAGAGTTTCTACTGCCAGGAGTGTGAGGTTTAGGGCCCAATCTGACTACCCACTGTATGGATAAAATCTGTGAAAGAGCAAAGTCTGACCGTTTTTTATTCATCTTTAGATGATTTTCTGGTGTTGCTGATCACTGAAAGGCTCTTTGTAGCCTTCTGTTCTAGCACTGAAAATAGACTGTGTGTTATTTCATAGGATTAGTATTTAATCAGCTCGTTAACATCATATTTAATTTTCCCTTTTATTTACAGGAGTGGCAGGAACCGCCGTGCACACAGGCTGTGCCCCGCAGAGGTGGAGTCCATGAGAGATGTCCTGGCACACAATCTGTACCACGTGCGACAAAGGGTGGGTGAGCCACCGGCTGCTGCTCAGTTTGCAGACCCAAAGCCCCTGTTTGCCCTCCCCGCAGCGCAGCACCGTCGGCGGCAGCAGCACCAGCACAGGCTCCAGGGGCACCTGGTGGGAGCCCGCAGCCATTCCGAGCTGGCACCTGCTCGGGGAAGGGATGGAGGGAAAAAGCCTGGGCTTGGGCCCCCTATCTATGCGGAATAAAGGAAAGCTGATTTTTTTCCCATCAGCTTTTCACCCTGATGGCAGCGCGAAAAGCCAGGAAAATCTCTGACTGAGCTGTAGAGGTCAGGCTTCCCTCGCTGCACAGCTCTCCGGATGGGAAACAGCCTCCTCGAGGCCGCCTGGGCTCCCGGCTCTCGGGGAGGGCCGCCGGGGCTCCCGGCTCTCGGGGAGGGCTGCCTCGCCCTTTGGAAGCAGCGGCTGCCGGGGCTCCAGCGGCAGCGAAGCTCCCCTGCGCGGGTGGGCGGACCGGCGGCGCTAAACCCCGCGCAGCCCTGCGTGAGAGCAGCAGCTCACCCGCACCGCGGCAGGAAAAAGAAAAATTCGACGTCCTCCATAGCTTCATTTTACTTATTCGATGTTCTTTGCCTCCATAAAGCTGGTGTGATAATACCTCAGTAGGGATTTATTTTGCAGAAATTCGTACTAATCCTGATGCAGCCCCGTCTGTAGTATCAACTTAACCCAATCCTGGGCCCTGAATAGACAAGTAACCCACAGCAATGAGTGGTAGAGGATATATTATAGTAACCTTGAAATGACACCAATAAGTGAGGCTAACCCATCTAAGACGCATATACTAGAAAATGCTAGGGCCTGCTCATTTAAATGTGGCATTATTAATATGATATTCATTCCTAGCATTGTTTGATTTTTCCCTGGCTAATTATCCTTATGATATTAATTTCTTATCTTACCAGAAACAATTCGCATATATGGTTATCTCAGATTACTGAAATGAACTCTCTCTTCAAAATCAATTACTGTAATGATTATTTGAACCAGTTGCTTCTTATGTGGTATTGAGAACTGTGTGCTTTTGGAAATGGAAGATTGGAAGTAAAATAATGCCACTTCTAATACTTCCCTTTTCGCTCTGAAGGCCTGGTAATGCTCTGGCTCACCAGACCACCTTTACAAGAAGACTTGCAAATGAGACTGAGATTAGATTCTACTTTCTAAGAGGGCTTATAAACTTCACTGAATTTTTCTCTTTAAGGCAGATAATTATTTCCCCCATTTCAGTAGATGTATGTGATAAATTAAAAAGTTTACCTTAAATGATGCTCAGTTTTAGGGTAATATTAATTTGTAGTTTGTCAAAGTATGGAAAGGGAACTCAGCTGTGCATCTCATTCTGGAGACATATTCTTCATTCCTGAGCACATCTGCAACTTGCTTCTGGCTCAGTAATATTAGTACCAAAGCTCAGAGGTGAGTTAGCCACTTATCTCTCTTTTGGGACCTGCCTCATACCTGTAGCTCCCAATTTGTGTGAAGGGATGAAAAAGGGAGGACAAGCCCAGAGATGTTAACAGCCTTCTTAACAGGTGGCTATATTTTTATACACCTGCACTTCAAGCAGGCAAGAGTCTATAAAAAATGGCATCAAAATGTAACCCTTGAGGTGGGAGACTTACAGTTGTGTTCATGCCTCCTCCCATCTTACTGTGCAGCAGTGAGGTTTGTGCAAGACTGCATTTTCCCGTGTTAGCAAAGAGATCGGTTGGTGCCTGAGCTGAGGCAGATGTACCCTTGGCCCTGTGACTGACCAGAATTACTAACACTGCAAATGCAACAAAAATCAGCTCAGTGCACTTTCTGTTTCAGGCACCACCATACAACCGACACAACCTACCTACCAACACAAATGAGACACAAGCGCAAGAAATCCTCATCCGCCGGCAGCACAGCCTGAGGCAGAGTTGCAGGAAGGGAAACAGCTTGCCCTGGAGTAGACCGGTACCTATTGTGTAAACTCTCATTTATGTAAAAATGCCTCTGCTTATCTGTAAATATGGAAAGAGATACATATTTTTATATGCTTTTTGCTGTAATCAAAATGGATACTTTCCCCATTATGCTCATGCAGCACCTAAGAAGAAAGGGGTTCACTTTGCATGTGAACAGCAATGTTTTTATGTCCTACCTCTATACATTGGTCAGAGATTTGCTGCTCTGTTTGCATGTAGTAAAAGAACTTGCATTGGTTTTGCATATGCAAAACAGAGTATAATCAAAGAAAGCCTGATGCCAAGCCCCTGACACCTTGCACTGACAAGTGCACTCTTGATCAATAAAAGATTTTTGTGACCAAATGTAGGCACTGGACAGCATAGACATTTATACCTGAGATAATCACAGTTAAGGAAAAGAGATAAGTTTTTGCTGGATAGATTAGTTTTATTTAAATTTGTCACATGAAATAGGAAAGGTGAATCTTAGAAGAACATATTTCTCTCTGCTGACTGTAAAAAAACCCTCTAGGACTATTATATCAGACAGACACTTAGACTGGAGCTGACATTGAATTCAACCATCCAAGTCAAGCACTGATCTTATTCATACCTCTCAAAGCCTGGCTGTAAAGTGCAGCATATAACTATCCGTCTTTACCATTCCACCAAATAAATGCCAAGTGGAGGCAACCGTGGACACTGAATGCACTTCTGTCTCATACACAGGTTAACACCACGGATGTACGCTACCTCTCTTTGCCTCAGGGCCCCACACAGACCAGTAGACGAAAAACCAGGCACGTTACTTTTACAGGTAATGGAACTGCTTTACTCTGTATTCTAGTGAAAGAAACTGGGGCATTTGTTCAGTGGACTTAACAGTATTAAATTAATACTCGCATGAAAGTCCCTGGCCTCTTTAAATGAGCTACACACTTCTCTCCTTTCTGTTTTATCTATCTTGTTTTTATGGTCATTACTGCAGCAGTTTCTGTCTTGTTCCAGCACCTCCTAGTTTTCTCTTTTTCCCTCTTGCACAAATATTCCTGAGATCCCTGCACTTCCACCTGGCATTTGTGTAAGCCCACGAATGCAAACTATCTGTACTCTGCAGCCCCCCAGACACAACTGTATGCAAAATTGTTAGGAGTTGCTGGACCTGTAGCCCAGTCCAGGCAAGGCTGACACATGCCCCCAGGTCCTCCAAGTATCAAGACTGGGCAGATATTACCAGCAGGCCTCCTCATTCCATAATTATGTGCACATGTACACATGGCCAGACACAAAGAGCAGCACAGACCAGGCACAGTGCTCACACACAAGTAAACAGCACCAATGGCTACATTTTGGTCCTGTCTCTGACTGATCAGGCTGATAGACTATTAGTGAAAATTTATAAATACAAACATGCTATCTGAATCCCCAGTAGCTGGCCTCAGATAGATGGTCTGCTCAGTAGCTGGCCCTGGACCTTCCATCTGCCCATTTGGTGTCACTTGGGCATGTAAACCCCTAGGGAGACAGACACATAGCAGCTACTGGTACTTAGACATACATACATGCACACACACAAACCCATGCAGACTCTTCCACTCCGTGCACTGTAGGACCCTCCTGTAGCTGGCCTTGGGCAGCCAGTCTTCCCTGTAGCAGATTCCTGGATCCCCTGGTCTCCTCCTGCCTCACACACAGGGACACATTATTTATGTGAACCATAAAGGCATTGGTGTTCTTATAAAAATTCCTTTTAATTTCTGGCAAAATTAGCTATAGTGACTGAAACCATATTTTTTATCTTCATATTTGTATCAAAAACTCAGACAACTTCTGCATGTGCAAATTTTTTTTCTTGCCTTTTTGTTTTACTGTGAAAGAGATGAAAGCAGAAGAGATATGTGTAGGCAAACCATACTGCTGGTAGGAGCAGGTCTGACACATCCAGTGTAATCAATGCACCCCAGAGTCAAACTCCTGGTTTCAGATGAAACTCTTCTTCCTAGTTGTTAATCACAGGTCACTGGTAAACTTGATATTTGATGGCACTAGAGTCTTCTTTGTCACATCTCTTTGTCACATTTTTGTTTTCTGCTGTGAGTTTCAAAATGCTTTTCAACCATGGTACCTACTATGTATACTTGTGAAATTTGTGGAAAATTGAGAACTACGTAAAGGAGCAATTTTGCCCTGCGAAAGCACTGGGCAGGTCTGCGAGACATCAGAAGATAGCAGAATGTGCTTATTTGCTGGGGTTTCAGAGTAGAGGCAAGATAAATAAAATCTTTTAAACATCAGCTTTGGGATGAAAATAAAAAAATAGGGTTATTTTTAGTTCTTGACTTCTTTCTTATTCTATAGTAATTATTTAAAATGCTTCGGTTACAGAGTTTAAAACCATAATGCTGTATTTTATTGAATGCTCTTGCCTATACCATGGTAGTTCTCTTTTCTCTTCTTTAAAATATTAATTATTTGTCTATTTTTCTTTAGATCAGCATAGAAGTGACTCTGATGCTGCATTGCCATTAATGTTCAGACCCCAGGCCCGACTACGGCCACTCGAAGCAAAGCACCGCCAAGAAGAGCTGATTCCAATGGCACACTTAGATAGACAAGCAGGTCCGTCCAATCTGTCAGGTCGAAGAGGAAATTCAATCAGCCATCATCGTTTCACCAGAGCAGACAATCTAGCTCTAATGCCAAAGTCTCGGTTCACTGTGAGAGAAGTAGAGGAGTATGAGTCAGAAGAAGAGACAGAAGCAATGGCACCAGCCAGGCCATTAGTTATATGAGGAGCAGAGAAGACCAGTGTTTGCATCTCTAGGGCCCCTTGTGCACTGCTCCAAAAGAAATAACAAAGCTCTTCTTATATGAACCAAACTATGATTTTCCTTTTGGGACCAGTGTCCTTGTTCTCGTATCACTTTCAAGCACTGTATCAAGGCACTTAGTGGCTCAGAGAAGACTCAAATTTTTAAATGTTTATATCAAGCGTTCTTTCCAACAAAACACTGCAGGAAAGAGGAGAACATGATCTTTGCAGAGGTTTGAACCTGGATTTAAGCAACAGTAGTAGGGCTCAGGCAATGCTATGGGTAGAAGCTGATACTGCCTTTGTTCCATAATTATGGCCTGCATCCAGAGGAAAGAAATTTGTAAAGGCATCCTTGACACGCGAATGCATAGGTTGATGACTTGCACAGAGCTTTTGACCTCAGAGTAGCTGAGATATTCCAGGAAGAAGTTAAAAGCAGAAAGGCATTTTTAGGGCTTTTAAACTGAAGGTGCCTAAACAAGATCTTAAGTCAAAAGGATTTTTAGTGGACATTTTCAGCACTTGGGAATTTTTTGTCAGCTCAGATTTTGGCTCTGAAAAAGTGCCTAAAGTTAGTTGCTGTGATGGTCTGTAACTCCCTCTACTTAAACCAATTTCCTATCACCTGCCTACACTGAATGAATAAAGGAGGTATCCTTGTATGCACAAAGCCAGAGGACTCTTCAGGCAGGGTGCTGTCAGGATACCTTTTACTTGTAAATGCGGGATGGCAAGAACATACACAATTTTCTTGTAATTCAGCAAGTGGGAGGCTTCATTGTATCTAATCTCCATTCCTCACTCCCACTTTGTGTGCTCAAAATGGGTGGACCATTCTTCACACTAAAACTGGACCAGCACTGCAGGTGGGAAGTAAGAAACTGGGATTAAAGGTAAAGGGAACCTAACCTTGTAGCCTGCCGGCTAGCAGGAAAGAGAGGCCCTGTGTTTTGCTCCCAGCTTTTTGTAATGTGTCTGTCTATATGTTGTACAGAGAAGTATTTACCAAAAAAGCAGAAATAACCAGAAGGTCGTGCACTGAAGCACATGACTTCCCAACCTTTCTACAGAGCTCCCTTCCAAGTGTTTCTGTATGCCCATGCTCCACTCTCAATGGTAGGTCTCCCTAGTGGCAGGATAAGCAAGAAGTATGGTCTTGAGTAATTTTAGATAAAGGCTAAGTCCTAGACACCTAGTCCCTCTGATGGAGCTCTTTTCTGCAGCATTGCCACTGTCACTTGTGTCTTGAAACTGTACATGAGCTGATTTTATCCAGAGGGATGAAATGAATCCAGAAGTCCATAAACCCACCCTTACAGCTCAAATCTATGGTTAAGAAATGCACCAAGGTCAGACATGTTTTTGTCAAGTTTCTTTCTCCTCCACTCAGAGCATTCTTAGCTGCCCAACTCAAGGTCTGTAAATGCTACTCTAAGAGTCAGAGAGATAAGAATTAGAGAGAGCAGTGCCACCTGTATGTTTCTTTTTTTTTTCCTATTGTTGTTAAGTGTTTGTGTGTCCTGGTCCATAAAAAACTTATAAGCGTAAGTTATGACTTCACATTTCTTACAAAGGATTTCTGAATCAGGACAGGTAGAATCTAAACTAAGAAATTTAAAAAGCACCACCAGAGGAAAAAAATAAAAGCCCTTTCCCCCCTTTTCTCAAGATTGCAGCTTTTATGCTTAGCAGGATAATGAATCATCTGTATTGAAATCGTACAAAGCTTTATGGAACTCAAGTTCTGTTTGTATTTCCTTATTGTGCCAGAGAAATTATACAACTTCCTTTTATGAAAACACTGGTACATTATTAAAACAGAGTAGGATTTTGCTTTTGTATTGACACTGAATTAGCAATGAAATACAGTTACGTACCTGAAAATCAACAAATAAACCCAGCTCCACCAAAGGAGGAAGTTCTCTACAGAGTTTTTAAACAAAAGCCTTGTGCCAGATCTCAGTCCTATAGCAAGTTATATTGACATATCATAAATCTAAATTAAATTGTGATATTAAAGGAACAGTTATCATACAAAATTGTGTCTTAAATTGCACTGTGAGCCACCCAGTTGCCACATGATATTTAATTAAGGGCAAAATTAGTACCTATAAGATGTGGTCCATAGGCCACAGAGGTGTATGGAGTAGGGTGGCAGAGATGTGGAACGTGCTTCTGCATTGCAGAGTCGTGAGGATGTGGGATCTCCAAGAGTGGCTGGTGGGTGATATGAATTGCTGGCAATCCTTGGGGACAGTGATGGAGAGAAAGTGGAAATTTGAAAGGAGGGGGAAGAGGGGATATTGTGTCATCTTCAAAAGGAGGCTCAAGAGAGAGGTTTAACTGAGGAATTACTGTGAGCTGCAAATTCAGCATTTCCTCTTTAAGAAGATTTAATCAACGGCTTGTCTGGGGGAACTGGACTGAAACAAACTCTGGGAGATGAGGAGGATTAATGTCTGGAGTGGAATGGAAAGGGCCTAGACATACATCATAGAAAAGAGGAGTCTGTGCAGTTTGGTCAGTATATGTTTGACAAACATACTCAAAATTGACTCCCAAATTCCTTAAATATTGTGAAAGTCATAGACCATTATATAATTACCCATTGTAAGTAGGCAGCAAAGCATTCCATTTCTAATGACTGATTTATATTAGAATTAGAGAAAAATAATTAAATCTTTCTAAAATACTAATAGTGCAAAGATGGAGATTAATCTCTCTCTTCTGCTTAATTTCTAATATTTTCTTCAATGAAACCAGCAGACCAGAACTTCAGAGAGTGTAAAGCTGTAGAGCAACTAGAAGTTAATAGAGTGCTTTCAGATTTTTCAGTTTGGCCCCCAAACTTGTAAAGTCTATTTTTAGTTTTCTTTCCTAGCAATTAGTAAATAGGACTGGAAGAAAATTTCCTTCTGTGCCATTAATTGATGTTAATGGTTTTGCTGGCCAACAGCCAAGAAGCAATGCTGCAAATGCCTGTATAAAATATGTTCTAAAATATAAACTTGCACATTTTATTTTTTTTATTGTTATTTCATACTTGTGGACAAAAAGTTCTCCTTAAAGAAGCACATTAAGTATGTTTTGAATAAGCAATAACTACAACAATATCTTATTACAAGTAATTTACTCCATGTCTATAGGCTTTCAGGCCTGTCCATAAAGAAAACTGAAGTGGTTTAGAGAATGAATTTAAATCCACTGTGTGTGCACATTCTTAGACTCTTTAACCTGGGTCACATCCAGGAACCTTGTGCTGATAATTTACAAAGGTAAGTTAATTCAAGATCTCCTATTTTTTATCCTGGTACTCTGGAATTTAAATTGTATACTGATTTAAGGTGAACTAGAACAGTATACTTATGCCCAGAAGGCAAAGAATTATTATTCAAAATCTAGAGAGGAAACAGGAACTCAAAGAGTTCAGACTATTTCCTTGGGCAGGAGGACAGTGCAGGACAGGTGAGTTTCAGGAAGGAATAATAATGAATAGCCTCTACCTTTGACAGCAGACAAAATAAACCACAACCTTGTTGTGGTTTAACCACAGCCGGTAACTCAGCCCCATGCAACCACTCGTTCCCTCCCCCCCAGTGGGATGAGAGAGAAAACTGGAAGAGCAAAAGTGAGAAAACTTTTGCTTGAGATAAAGACGGTTTGATAGGTAAAGCAAAGGCTGTGCACGCAAAAAAAGCAAAACAAGGAATTAATTCACCACTTCCTATGGGTAGGTGGAGGTTCAGACTTCTCCAGGAAAGCCAGGCTCCATCATGTGTAATGCTGATTTGGGAAAACCAAACAAACACCGTCACTCTGAATGTCCTCCCTTTCCTTCCTATTCCCTCAACTTTTATTGTGAAGCATGACACCACATGGTGTGGGATATCCCTTTGGTCAAATGGGGTCAGCTGTCCTGCCTGTGTCCCCTCCAAACTCCTTGTGCACCCCCAGCCTGCTCTCTGGTGGGGTGGCATGAGAGGCAGAACAGGTCTTGACTCGTCATGAGCACTGCTCAGCAACAACAAAAACATCCCTTTGTTATCAACACTGTTTCACACAAATCCAAAATACAGCGCCATATGAGCTAATATGAAGAAAATTACCTCTATCCCAGCCTAAACCAGCTCACACCTGAACAGAACTTGCTAATCGATGAGAGAAATAGGACAATAAGAACAGTTATAATGAGAAAAGAGTTTAGTAGTAAAAACAGTAATGGTCAAATATTGCAATATTTTCTGTAGAATACTGCAGAAAACAGGAAGGAGTTATCAAAGTCAATAATATGTTGTGAGCAGCCTGCAATACTTTCATATTTATTGCACAGTGTAATTAACTGTTAGATCCTGTTAGTCTTGCTGCAGCTATTGCTTTTCAACTCATATCCCTGGCAAGTAAGAATGTGTAGTAAAAGGATAATCTCTTCCTTAGAGAGCTTAGCATCAGGAATGCAGCAGCAAGGGCAGCGCCAGCAATCAGGACATGATAGCAGCTAGCGCAGGGAGCACCCAAGCTGTGCCCTCCCGATATACCAGAGTGCACCAGAAGGTGGCATTGCTATGATCTCTCTTCCAGGGGCAATAGTGCTCACCCCTGTGTAGTCAGGGCTGCCTCTGCCATCTGTACAGCACCCAGATGACACGCTGGTTATGTAATAATGCCAGCAAGCGAGGTGGGGAAGGATGCTATGAAAGACCCGAAAGCAGTTTCTGAGTTACACTAGTGCAAAAGCAGGGGCGATAATTCACCTCATGGCGTGGCTTAAAACTCCAGTGAGTGGAGCAGGCATGTGTCTATCAGAGCCAGAGAGGAGGAGCTGCAATAAGAATAGAGCAAATGTCCCAATGGGAGCTCTAGATGGACTGATTTACTGCCGTGTGTGTGGGCCAAGGAACTAGGCCAGCTTGAAAGACAGAAGTTCAGATATACTAAGACCAGCTAGGGAAGGTTATATGAGATTCAGAAAAGTAGGTC